AAAAATTATACTTTAGATGTTTATCTAGTATCAAAAACGTTTGATTTAGCATGACACACAGTCCTCAGAAAAACACCACACAAAAGTACCAGTGCTGCCAGCTAAAACACACACATCAACAAAAAAAAAATATTGGAGTAGCCCAAGATATAGCCAAAGATTGCAGCGCCACAGCACTAGCAAAAATTTAAATTTGCCAACTGGAATTCTTTCGGATAACTGACTTTCAGATAAACAATGCTCTACTGTATTCTAATCAAAATAGATGTGGCTGAAATGCTCTCATGCATATCAAGATAAATACTGGTTGCTGCCATCTTTGTTTCCATCAGGGCTGCCAACTGCATGTTACAAGAACCTAAAGTTTGGGGTCTACCTGTAGGACCACTGGTCCTTCAGGTAGGCCACTCACCAAATAATCATCAAGGCTTCACAACAGCACATACATTACACTACAGAAGCCCACTGTACTAAACACATGTCATATAGTAAAGAAATTCATAAACACAGATACATGTATGAAGAGTATATAAACAAAACATCTTATTTTGTGTAGTTTTGTCTTGACTTTGGACCAGCACAGCACTAGTATATATGCCATGTAGGAAACACTCCACCAATATTATAATTAAGCCTCAACTTTGAGTTAGTTTTGAGTTTAATATTCACTTTTCTCAAATTTTTCTATAGCTGTAAATTTTGAAATTTTAAGCCATTTCACAAGACTCTGTTCATTCACAAAATGATTACAAAATTGTATACAGTTAATGGCACTTTTGAGTGCATTGTCAAGGTGCTTACTTATGTTTCAATCAGAATGCTGGTAACATACTGTATCAATAAATGGATATCAACATGAGATAATGGCATGCTGTGTTTAGCATGGAGCTGTAATATTTATCTTAATCATTTGTATTCATATGGAATATAAGAGAAAATGAAGATTGTGAACCTGTCAAAGGATGAAGGGTATACAGGAAAATAGGTTTGATTTAAAGGTACTAACAATTTTGAATTAATGATATTGAATTATTTTGAAAATCCTATAACTATGTCTAGAACCTGTACATAGGTTTGAGTTAATGCAGTTTAATTTACTGAGGTTTTACTATAATAATAATGTAAATGATGGAATTACTTCAAAAAAAAAAAAAAAATTAAATAGAAAAAGAGTTTAATGCCAATAGTATCTGTTAATGTGAGGTTTTGAATGCACCATTTAGCTATAAACCTAGTCCTATGTGCAGAAAAATTTTGATGGAAAATAAAACAGAAAACAAAGAAAATTTTGTTTATGCATTAACTTGATTTACCAAAAATGCAGAATGTCCTTTTTATGATAAACAAATTCAAATAATATCTACTATTGATGCTATTGGAATGATATCTAAATTCCAAGATGGATGATAGCTTAGTTAATAGCAAATTATTTACTAGTCATTATAATATCTCATACTCAATTTCTTCATTTTTGTGCAATGTTTTTAAAAGTTAACTATCAATGGATAATTTATTTCAAGAAAACAATTTTCATTGTCTGTCATGTTGATTTATTGATGTCAAAACTGCTCTCACTTTTTATCAGATATCAACTTTCCATTTTTGCATGTAACAACAAAAAAGTTAAACATTTTTCTAACCAATTTTTTGGACTCTGGATTACAGAAACAAAACTTTTATTTTCTGAAACTTTTTTTACACTTTTCTGCAAATAGAACTGTAAACTGTAGCTTCATTTGATGTAAGTATAAACATACAATAGAATCGACAGTTAATTTTAAAATAATTCTCTGAGAGTTGTTATTATGTAGAGAGAGGGAAATTACTGTAAAAGTGAATGGGACAGAGCTAAAGATGAGGCATATATATATTAGTGTTGTAACGAATAGTATATTCGGCCAAACTATTCGGCTTGATTAACGCACGTATGAAAATTGGCGTGCAAACCGTATTATGGCAAAGATCATGCTCTCTATTGGCCCACTGTCACTACGCTTCGCCAATCACGTTAATTCTTGGCAGTTGTAGCGGACAGACAAGAGTGTCATGGAAGTATGTGATAAATGATGATATCAAATATGGATAACAATGAAATGACCTACACATGTAAATAACGGAAAAAGAACAGAGAAGGACCGCGAAGTGAAAATGTGAAAATAAATATGAAATTGAGTTGATAACATAATCGAACAAGTCGAGGCAGCTTATTGGCACGAAATTCGCGGCCGTCAATGCCAAACAATTGTTGTCATAGACTTCGGAAAGCTAAATGCTTGTAATGAAAGTCACTTAGCGTGCACGGGCGAAAGCCTGGGGCCGTTCGGGCTATCAAGCTGTCTCGAATCTGTGAAATCATAACTGTGACTTATATCGACGTCCTATCTGTCTCTTTTCTCCGTTATCACCAGGCTGAGTCACGTAATTGTAAAATGGGAACTCTACGACGGAAAAGTGACGAATCGAAAGTATCGTGAGCGCGTATTATGATGTATGCACAGGCATACATGGATTAGAGCGATAGAGGAAAGAGAAAGGGAAGAGCAAAGACGAGCGCTTAAAAAGAAGGATAGGCAGGGTCAGACCCTCAGATGTGCGAGGATTCTCCAACGATAGACGTGTACGTGTGCTGATCTTTGTAATTATAAATTGTGAATACATGTGACTAATATTATTTTCTTTTTTATTTTGTGCATGTTAAAGTTATAAATAAATATAAACACACAAACTAACTCTATAACATTAACTCTAAATACCAAAATGATTAATTTACTGTGTTTTTGTTATTTATTACTCCTGCTTTTAGGTATTCGGTATTCGGCCGAATAGTGAAAAATAGGCCGAATACCGAATAGTAATTGAATATTCGTTACATCACTAATATATATATACACCTCATCATCTTTAGCTTCTGGTTTTGGGAAAAAGTATGATGGCAGATGAATGTCTGTTGTGTTCTTGGTAGGTTCAAAGAAAGGAAAAGCTTTTAATGAATAGCCTATCAGATCACAGCTAAATGAAAAGGCTTCATACAATAATACTTAAAATTATACAATACAATAATGTTTTTATTATTGTATAGCAGTTTTAATTTAGTGTTTTATGCAATTGTATACATTGTGCACTGTGTTATTTATAATATTGGTCTGTAAACTGTATTTTGTTACAATATGTTAGATATTTATTGTGTTTACTGCCATATGTCTAATTTTTAAATAGGCTGATGAGGAGTCTGAATACCTGAAATGCATTCTCATATTAATAAAAGTTATATTTGAATAATTGAGTTGTCTTGATGTGATAAGCCCTTTTCATTTAGCTGTGGTCTGATAGGCTACTTGTTTAATGTGTATTTGGGCTAGAAGCATACTTAATGTAGCCAAAGAAAAAGCTGTTGAATGAGTTCATAATTGCAAATTAAAATCAGCAGATAACCTGCATCAATGCATAATCCTCACCTGCCTTTAAATTGACTTCTGGATATAGGTTATACATGTGAAATCAAATAAACTTATTAACAAATAAACAATTAGTTAATATTGACAATAATTTAAAATTATTTTAGTTATTCAAAAAAACAAAAACATTGTATATATAAACTATTTAACTAATAGACTATTTAACTATTTAAAAATAAAAGAATTATCTAGAAGAGAGAAAGGAAAGAGAAAAGGAGTTATTTAGAAAATGGTTGACTGTTTTGTTCTGGCTGCATTTAATCTATTTCTGAGTTATTTCCAGTAAATAAATACTTTTGAATGTAATAGACCAAGATAACTATTGGATACTTTTGGATATAAGTAATTTGCTTTAAATGTAGAAGTAAAATTTAACCAAAATTTGTATCTCTTATATCATGATGTATTAAAAACAAAAATTAATGCTAATTTTTAATATAATTTCATTGAAATAAACAGTAAATGAAATAATATATATTCTTTGTAAAAGATAAATGTGAAAAAGTTTCTCTTTCTTTATTTTAGTATAGAGACAATCTAATGCATTTGTATGAAGTCTGTGTTATTACTCTAAATTTAATTTTCAAGACACACTAAATATAACTATTTAATAATAATACATAATTATTTGATGTAATCCAATCAAAGGATTAATTAAACTACAGTAGCAGTTTGTTAATCTGGCATCTGACAATCTGAAATGTCCAGTAACACAGCACCCTCTGAAAACATGCTTGAATTGTCTGATGATGATCCTCAAATCAGAATTTGTTTGGTCATATGGTGTGTGAAAGACCCAAACAGAAATATAGTACATGTCTGGAAAAGAAATATAAGCACATGAATCATCATGATTGTCAATTTTACTCAATAACATGTTCATTAATGTTTTTGAAGATTTCTCAATCAAGCTTAACACAGTACAATCGTGTGTTGTATTATCATTAGAACTGCTTAAAGAGTGTGCATAAATAAATTGAAATTATACAATAGTGTATGTGGGTACAAAAATGTAAAACAATATTTGTGATGTTCAGATCATAGATATTGTGGAAGCACAAAAATGCCCAGTCAAATCTGGATGGATCAAAAAACCCCAGGAATTTTTCAGGTGGTGGTCCATCTGGATGTGTCAGGCCTGGCCAAACCCATAGTGGGCTTGCTAGAAAAGACCCTCTTAATGCCCTTGACATCAAGAGTTAAAAAAAAAAAAGGTATTACTTCAAAATATTTCAAAGGTTTATTTTGTAAGAAAAATTTGAATATATTTTTGAACAAGACTAAAATTTAAATGAAAGACCTAAGGGCATTAAGTATTATTCTTTGTAAAAATATTAAAAATTAGAATACTTCAAAAGACTTTTTGTATAAGTCTTCAATATTATATATTTTTACACTTTTTAAATAAATATTTTGCTGTTTTATTAACTTTCTTGAAAATTAATAGACTATATGGTTTCTTTATTTAGTATTCTGCAATAGTAATAAATTTTTTTTATTTCTTAAAATGAATTAAAACTATATTTGGAATTTTATTTTTTATAGATTTAAGAGGAGAGCAAATTGGTACATAAGTATTATGTGTTTTCGCATATTATCTAGAGTTTTTTCTGCTATTGTGACTTATCATAATAGGTAATAATAATAATGATATCACTATAATTATTCTATTTGTATAACATAAATAATAATTTTAAATTAAATAATAACATTAAATAATTTGCAATTATATATTTTTTGATGTGCTTCTTACAAAAAGTGAACATTAAGATGAAATTTTGAAGTTAATTATTTACAATAAAAATAAGAAATTATTATTTTAAAAATTCAATAAATATTAATAAAAATCATTAAAATTTTTAAAAATATGATTGATTTAATACAGTAGAGCATCAATTATCCGAAACGTCAATTATCCGAAAGAATTCCAGTTGGCAAATTTTAATTTTCGCCAGTGCTGTGGTGCTGCAATCTTTGGCTACGTCTTGGGCTACTCAAATATTTTACATTTTTGATACTAAATTAACTTCTAAAGTATAATTTTTTATTGTTTTTATATTTTTCAATATATTTATTTTGTTTGTACAAAATAAAAAAATAATTTTTAACGATACAATAGTCTTCATTAGGCTTAACATCGATGAAAATTCAACGCGAAGCGACATGCAATGGAGAAAAATTTCAAAATGGGCTAGGTTGATATATTTTTTCGTACATAATCAGTTATCCGAAATATCGATTTCCCGAACAACCCCAATCCCCAATTGATTCAGATAATCGATGCTCTAATGTAATTCAAAAATTGAAATTTGTTTTCTCAAATTTTCTATAATTTTCAGAGCTATATTCAATGCTGTCTGATTTTATTGAATGTTACAATATAAAGTAGTACATATAAAAAATAATTATTAAATATTAAAATGAAAAGTATATTTAGCTGAATATTTTTAATGCTATAATATTAAAAAGATTAGACCTGTTTCATATTTTTAATAGACAAATATAAACTTTTTATATGAATATTTTTTGAAAACTAAGATTACAATATTGAAAAGAAGAAGAATAGGTTCATTTGAAAGCTGAGTGAGATCAATACAAAAATGATAATCAGTCAAATTGAATATTTCTTTGATGTTCATTCAACAGCCAATGTCCAAATGTTTTCATATGTATGTTTTTTTTGCTAGCTTAACTATATATACATAAAACTAAATAATAATAAAAAAGGTTTATTACTGTGATATTTTAATATAACTTATTACTTTGTTGATTTACATTATTTGAAATTAATAAAATAACACACTATAAGACACAAATATTTACTTGGCATTCAAAGATCTTTGAAATATGAATTTTCATCTTATAAACTATTTTATTCTTTTATTTAATTTTTTGATCAATAATGCATTAAATATACAATATTTCAAAATTCTATTTTAATTTAACCAAAATTATAGGGAAAACAGGGCATTAGGTGGAGGAATATGTGTGGCCAATCATACTTCTCCTATTGATGTTGTTTTGCTTGCAAGTGATAACTGTTATGCTTTGGTAAGATTTTACATAACATATAAATACTATTTATTGTAAAATAATTTATTGTATTAAAAAATGAATATACTTTTAAATAAAATTTAGTTAAGATAAATACAGTAATACTTCAAACTTACGCGATAGGTGGGACCGAGCAATAACCGCATAAGTCAAATTCGCGTAAGTCGGGGTAAAATTTTGCATATAAATACATACAAATAATTTTTAATTGGAACCGGATACCAAAGAAAACAATAATTTAGAAAAAAATGTTTAAAAATTAATTAACTTAATAATGTCTTAGATAATACATATGTATAACAAATTATATTATTATATAATTTTTCACATTTACTTGATTATCACACCATAATTTTAACATCGTTTCCATCTCAAGGATAATACCGTGACGTTTACGAATGATGCTTGAATTTAAAGATTGAGCATTTTTTACAGCTTCGAGAATTTTTTCTTTACCTTTTATAATTGTTCTGACTGTCGATCGATTCTGGTAGATCAAACTTCTTTGCCAATTCACAAATTTTCATTTTTGTATCAAAGTCTTTAATAATGTTAACTTTACATTTTAAAGATAAAGTTTTTCTTTTCTTGTTTGATGCAGAAAAATCAGTTCTACTTTGTTTAAATGACATAGTAGAGTCTCTCAAGTCTCTGTAGATATAACAAACACAGAAATAAATAACACAAAATAAATTGTAGTTATATGTCGATTCCATGCAACATGTCCAAACATGTAAGCCGAACAATAGTGTGGGGGGAGTGAGTAATCAAGAGTTGCGTGGCGCTCAAACAAAAGACGAATCGACAAGGTTTGAAAATCGCGTAACTGTGTTTGCATAAGTTGGGGTAGTGTAAGTTGAGGTATTACTGTATATTCATAATTAACTTTAATTTATATTTGGAGTATTATCTAACCAGGGATGGTGAACCTTTTTGAGTCCACATGCCATATAGTAAGCATACTTAGCTTTAAAGATGTGTATATGTCCCAAAGTTTTAGACTTTGAATAACAACATTTAAAGAAATTAAATGAATATGCTTTAATTAAAATAAATGTAAAAAAGGATGATTGGGTGATAAACCAAAAGGATGATTGAAAAAGAAAGATGATAAATTAAAATCATGTGACATGTTACGTGCCAGACTATTCCTCATGTGCCACTTTGGACATGCATGCCATAGGTTCATCACTCCTCATTTATACTTAATTAATTTATTAATTTCTGTTTAATTTGTGCAGAGTACTTTTATTTGCGTGTTTAGTTTTTGAAATAATAATAAAATTAGATACAGTCGACCCCCCCTATAATGCAGTAGATATGTTCCATTTTATAAGAATTTCACGTTGTAGGAATCCTTAAATATATGAGCCAATCACAGCTCGGCACGTATGCAGTTTACAGCTGTTTGAAAGGTTTTCTTTCATAAAATTAATCGATTTTAGACTAATTTGACTCAACATTTCCAAAACATGTATGATTTTTTGGGAATAATCCGTATAAACTATGCTATAAACAAAAAATTGTAGGATTACTTACTGAATGTGCACTGTTCGACGATGCCATTGCTTAAGCTTGCTTTCGTCATGGAGCAGCGCACTAAACAGCGGGCGCGTTTCTGATAAGTTATTTTCCTGCAAAAAATTTGTTGAACTTTGGAGACATCATTAATAGAAATAATTTTTATGGTCATTGAATAAGAAATGTTTTTTTCACAAGAAATGTACAAAATTACAGTAGTGTATTAGACTTATAGTACCTAATTTATATACTGTACAGACAATAGTAAACTCAACTTACCTGACTAAACTCGCCATAGCGTGTAAGTAGTTCGGCTGCTTGTCCACTATTGGTCCAGATTCAACCAATCCTGTCACAACACAAGTCGTGGATGACGTTTTACTGCATTTTACGAGTCTCTTTTAGCGTCTTTATACGAATACAGTTGCAATATTTTTGTCGCAATATACGAATCTGCATTATATGAACCCACGTTATAGGGGGTTGACTGTATGTACTTTTTTCTAATTTAACAAAATGTAGTAGAGTTACATTTTAATAAGGGATATATCCCTAGCACTCATTATATTTGTTTATTTTTTATCATAAGTGATTCTATTTTTAATACATTTTCTTTTGATGTTTAATGTTTTGTGATTTACTCTCATTATACTTTAATTAACTAAATTTCTTAAAGAATAAAATAAAATAATTAATTTAATATAAATTAATGATTATTACTTTCCCAGCTGTTACATATAACAGAGGGAAAGTATGGCAATTGGTCAAAAAAATAGTTCCCTCCCAATATTTTTACAATTTTAGACTCAGAACCTTGAAATGTAAATGCAAAAAAATTTGGGAATTTTTTTTGTGTGTGTCTGTGTAGGGGGGCATGATTTTGTTCACTCTCTTAGAAGTTAGACAAAAAGCATGCGAGTTGTTAAAAATTTCTGAAATTTTGCAGTGAGGTGTTTATTGGGTCATTGATGCTATTAAATTTTGGTAATTAATGGTTGAGGGGTGGGGAGATAGAGTCATGTAGGATCAGACTTAGTAATTATTTTACTTGCTATTTGCATTTACAATTTTTTATAAAACCCATCCCTATTGTGAGTTAGCCAGGCTTACAGTTCTTAGAATTAATGTACCACTTAATCAGCACAGATCTTAATCTGTGCCGATTAAGTGAAATCTGTTCTCGGGGTTTCGGATCAGGAGATCCAATCTCTAGTCGAAGGATGGCCTTAGGGCATTTATGAAAAGATCCAAATCTTGAGGTTCAGGTCTAAGTCAGGATGATGACACCAGTTAATCAGATTTATATTACGCGGATTAACACGCGTATTGAACCATGGAGGAGATGATGAAATGTTTGATTCAGATAATGTAAGAGACATTTCTTTAACAATGAAAACAAAAATTTAATGAACAAAAACTAGATTATACAAAATTGAATCTTCGAATAAAACTATTGATTGAGAGAGAGAGAGAGAGCTCACTATTTCTGTTAAAAATCATACTACTTAAAATCATGTGTCTTTTATCTTCTTGAGATCTGTTTCTGGATGAATGTTCGTATGTTATGTTTTTTAACGGCACATAAACATTTTTCTTCACTGTATTTACCGACTTAATAATTCATTTAGGAGAAACTTTGGGAATTGGTTATGGGTGTTGGCCGTAGGGAGATGATGTGGAATACGTTCTCCTTCTCTGGAATTTCATAGCATACTCCCTGATTGATACAAAATTCTCTGTTTCTGACGAATTTTCACCAATCAGCATTTCGTATTTTTCCACGTGAACAGGAAAAAGGAGATTTACCAAGGGGTTGACTAAAATTTTTTAAAGTTCCCAGGGTGACTAAAATTTTTAGGAGATAAGGGAAAACAAAAAAGATGTTCAACTTCCGTTGAAGGAAGTGACTTTTACCAGTTTCCTTCATTTTAGAAAATAATTTTCCCACCAAAATCAATGAATATTTTTATCTAAAATTTTACTATTTCGATTAAATTTTTAATTAATCACAGGGGTGGTTCGCATCTCACACTATCCTCAAAATAAAACTTTTTGCCATTTTATAATAGTTAAAAATATAAAAAGTTTTTAAAATAAAATATGACAACAGATGGTGTCACGAAATGTTGCTGGGAAAGTTAAGCAACTCATTGCTGGATTTTTTAAATGAAATTATTAAGTACAAACATCGCTAAACCCGATATATAATATAGCTACACACCATCCGAATGCCGAAAATCTATCGGGCTAGTATAAGGCTAGTTATTAAATGAATTACGTAACCAATTTGGCTCTAGAGGTAAGCGTTAGGCGCCACCTCTTATTAACATTAATAATTATAAATAAATTAATTAATTTAAATAATTTAGAACCGCTGGGAGAAAAAATTGGCCCGGAGCGGGACTCGAACCCACAACTCCTGCTTATCGTGCAGATGCGTTGCCAGTTACGCTATTCGGACCTCAGTCCGATCTTCTCTTCCAGCGTATAGAAGCTAACTATGTAACCATCGACGGTTATTACAATGCCGGCTGGGGACACATTCAGTGCCCACGTCCTACTCCTATAAGGCACTCAACCGGCCATCGCAAGCCCCGGCAAGGCGTAATATATATAAACATCGCTAAACCCGATGTAATATAGCTAATCACCAAACATATGCCGTAAATCCATCGGGCTAGTTTTAAGGCTAATTACTAAATAAATTACGTAATTAATTTGGCACTAGAGGTAAGCGTTAGGCGCCATCTCTTATTAATATTAATAATTATAAATAAATTAATTAATTTAAATAATTTAGAACCGCTGGGAGAAAAAATCGGCCCGGAGCGGGACTCGAACCCACAACTCCTGCTTATCGTGCAGATGCGTTGCCAGTTACGCTATTCGGACCTCAGTCCGATCTTCTCTTCCAGCGTATAGAAGCTAACTATGTAACCATCGACGGTTATTACAGCGGTTCTGAATTATTTAAATTAATTAATTTATTTATAATTATTAATGTTAATAAGAGATGGTGCCTAACGCTTACCTCTAGAGCCAAATTGGTTACGTAATTCATTTAATAACTAGCCTTATACTAGCCCGATAGATTTTCAGCATTCGGTTGGTGTGTAGCGAAATTATTAAGTCTCCAGAAATTAATTTTGTTGACTAAAAATGTACATGTTTCTGTTCGTAAAAGTTTTTATTGTTAAAATTATATAAAATGTCAATTCTTTTCTCTTGCTTTCCAATTCAGCCTTAATACCTGTGACATTTTTCATGAAGTTTTGTTTTCTTTGATTAAGAATAAAAATTCTATGATATATGTATAAACCAAAACTTACAAAAAAATAATTTTTTCCACAATAATAATTAGAAACATAACATATTCAGTTCAGTCATTTTATTTTAATTGAGCGATCTTTTGTTTACAAATATTTATAAATACAAGATATCTGAAAAACTCTTCTATTATTTTAAATTAAGTAGAGAATAAATATATTTTACTGGTAGTAGTTGATTGTCTGTAAAAATTTTATTTGAATAGAAAAATTTATTCAAGATGATAATAATTATATTTTTATAACTTAAAAATGCTAAATATTTAATACATAGATTTTATATATTAGTATAATTTTCTGCACATATACTACTATGTATTATATATGAAACTGTAAGAATTAGCTAGTAATTTAAAATTTTTGATTTTTAATTGATTTATTATATAAGATATTCTAATATAGGTAGGTCAAAGTCATGGTGGTTTGTTAGGAATTATCCAAACTGCTCTGGGCCGTGCTACATCTCATATCTGGTTTGAGAGATGTGAAGAAAAAGATAGAGAATTAGTCACTGAAAGGTAAATCATAATTTGTTAATATGATAATTATTTTATAAAAAGTACTTTTATATAACTAAGTTAACTTTATAACAATAAGCTTTTCAAGCAAGCGGTCCCAATAGCATCAAATTTTTATTAATAATTTTAATAAAAATATAAATTGTAATTTCACTATATTACAAGTATTGATTGATCATATTATATAATTTAATGTTAATTGAATCTCTCCTCATATCTAACTAACTACAATTTTATCTTAAGAATGAAAGCTTACAAACTTGTATTTCTCAAAATTTTATTTTTTTTATTGAAATTTCAAGATTGAATTTAAGAATAACTGCACATGATCTAAAGATTTTTTTAGCTAATAAAAAATGAAAATTCTCAGCTAGATACATTTAAATATGTCATATCATCTGTTTAAGTAAGAAAGAAATAATAAAAGAGATGTTTTTTTTAATTATTTAAAAAGCTTTGAAATTTATTTATTGATTTTGTTAAATTTAATTTTTACTGTACAAATTCATAAAAACTGAATTTTCCTAAGGAATGTTTTGTGAAATTGTAATTTATGGGTATTAGTATATTTTTCATGTCAGTTTGGGTATCATTTATTATGTTTTATTTATATTTATTTTATGAATTTTGTAAGAATGTAGTGTTACAATATCAAAAATTTATACTGTAATTGAAATGTTAAAATCAGTTGTTTTAAACTCAAAACAACATTGACATATTTTGATTCTTTAACACACAATTTTTCAAAATAAATGAAATTCTAATTAATTGAAGTTTTATTTATCATTATATAAATGCTTTTAAGTTTCATTCTCAAATAAATCTTTTCAAAGTTTGCTAAATAAGATCAGTTTTAAAATTTGTTTTCTTACATGCTATATAGCATATTTTTCCTAATTGGCCAAGCCTTGCATTGACCTCCTTTTAAGTTTGCTGACAACTCAAACAAATCTTTCTCCAGGCTGGTAACCTGCCTCATTACAGCATATTTTCTGCAGTGTATTGTGCAGATTGCTTTTCTTAGACACAGAACATGTAATTTTGGGGACAGAGAATTACATCCATATGGGAGGTGAATTCTCCATATTGACATGAGAAAAATATCTTTGTTCTGGCACTTGATCAGGAAATTAAGTTAAGCTTCATTCTAGCAGATTTAAGGACTAATTTGTGATATGTTTTAGCTGGCATAGCCATACTTGCACTAGACATAAAACTGCATATGTCATAAATTACAAAAACAACCAATCATACCTTTTAAATGCAATGTGAATTTTAATTTTTCTAACGTTTTTGGTCATTTTAAATGCCCTTCCTCAGGATAAAAAATGATTACAATTTAAAAATAAGAATGAAACTGTACTCTGGGATAATTTTCATTTTGAATCTTAACACTTTAGAATCCCAACTGTTTAACTGCACGTCATACTTCTACATAGGTTAAAAAATATAAATTGACAAAGATGGTGTAGTTGAACATCAAAAATTAATGTGTACGTATCAGATTTAAATATAAATATATAAATAATAAAAAGCAACAATGATGAAAAAGCATGGTCTTAACATATAACATATATAAACATATAAATGATAAAATATACAATATTTCCTGCCTCCACGCATCTTAGTTCACATCTACAGTACTAGTACCTTCCAACAAGCACTGGCTATCATGTCACCCTCTTTATAATTTATTGCTTGCCCTCTCAAAGATGTCTTGTATATTTGCCAAGCTTCTGTGTATCTTATTATGTTTTTACTTTGTACTTTTTGGATTATTTTAGCCTGATCCCAGCCTACCGAGATGGATTTCGGGTCAGACATCGTGTAAGCTGCTAATGCAGTAGATAGGTTTGTGACTGAAGGGTTGGCACCGAGTTGGCGATGCCTACATCAGGACTGACACCACTGTTGCTCTACATGAGCGTAGAAGTTTTTGTTGCCTCGTGAGTGGTCATATACATACACTCATGTGCAAAACTTAAGGATAATGTGGTGTAACGTATTTATGACAGGAAAAACAAGGAGAATTTCCCATATATGGATTGCATGTTGCATTGCAAATGGTATCAAACTGCAAACAGTTTGAGAAAAGGTACAGAGTGTGCAACATGGATGACAATTGAGAATAGTGTGAAAATTGGAAAACGTACCTATATGTTAGTCCAGGAAACAAGGTACAGCACAGGGACATTAATAGTGTGTGTGATTACCTTGCACAGCAAGATATGCACCACAATGCGAACGCATGCTGAGAACAAGGTTATCAAGAAATGGCTGGGGTATGGCTTCCCATTTTTGGACCAGTGCTTCCCTAAGCTTGGGAATGGACCTTGGAGCCATTTGATGATGTGCAATCTGCCTGCCAAGCATGTCTCATGCATGCTTTATTGCGTTCAAGTCCAGCAAGCAACTGGGCCAATCAAATTGTCTGATATCTTCTGTTCCAAGGTACTCATCCACTATGCCTGCCTGTTGGGGACGAGCATTATCATCCATCAGAATGAAGTCACTACCCACAGCACCTCAAAAGAGACAAACATATTGGTCCAGGATGGCATAATGATACACTGAACCTGTGATCGAACCCTGTGGGAAGACATGCAGGGGAGTACGAGACCCCAGGATGATGCCACCCCACATCATGACTCTCCACCTGTATACTGGTCCAGTTCAGTAATGTTCTCTGGACAGAACTGTGTCCCAGATTCTCTCCAGATGAAGATACATTGTGAATCACTGCTGAGACTAAACCTATCTGTAAAGAAGACATGGTGAATTCTAAACCTATCTGTAAAGAGCTCGTTTGAATTGTTCCAGGGAACATCACACATGGACCCAGGAGCAATGGAGTCATCTCCATTGCTCCTGGGTCCATGTGTGATGTTCCCTGGAACAATTCAAACGAGCTCTTTTTTGCACTTGGTTTAATGGAACACATCTTGCTGGTCTTCTGGCATACAGGTGTTCCTCAGCTAACCATCTGAACTATCTGAAATGATGGTTCCTGTAGCAGATGCAAGATCTCTAGTGAGATCCGAGGCAGTGCTGTGTCTATTGCGTCTGGCTGTTAGGTAGCATCATCATCATCATCATCATCATTTTTATTTGTACAAACAAAGTACAGACCGGCCCCACTTTTGTGCATTATCGGTTATACACGTTTAGTTTACAGTACTCAAGAGAAATGTTTTACACTTACACAAATGATAGATATTAAATATACATTCATACAAATAAATGCATAAAGAAAAAATATGAATAAGTAAATAAGTTAATAATAACATTTTAAATAAAAATAATAAAATTTATGGCCGGCGTCACTTACATTTAATACATAAAAATATAAATACGACTTTTTAACAAAGTTAAAACTTTGTGTCTGTCCTCCCTTTTCACTGTTTTCACCATCAGCAATCCTTTAAAAAGTTCACGTAATTTTGTGAACTTTTTAAAGGATTGCTGATGGTGAAAACAGCGAAAAGGGAGGACAGACACAAAGTTTTAACTTTGTTAAAAAGTCGTATTTATATTTTTATGTATTAAAGTTAATAATAACAATTATTTGATCTAGATACAAACTTAAAACTAACTATATACAAACTATGTACAATAAGCAAGATTGTAAATAGATATGTTTACGTTAGAAATTAGGCATACAGTTAATTAGGATAATGAATACATTTAATACATAGAGTAACATCTTGCAGAATTGGAGGCTGGCAAACATAAATACAATTTTGGTTAATACATCAAAATTTGTAAAATGTTCACAAAATAAAAGTTCTATTTGTGAATGTTAATTGTCCTTCAAAAGAAATATGTAGTGCAAGTGATTAGAAGCTGCAAAGCATCACAAAATAATGTCTATTACAGTTTCAAGAACTGGTGTATCATTAATGTTTCCCTATATATGAATGTCAAGGGTAGTAATTATCTCCAGTATAGTTAACGTATATAATGAGTTCTGTTCATATATTTTGTTCGTTCTCTTATATAAGTCAGACATGTTTATCCATAGTATTGTGATTGTATTGCGTTCGTCTTTCCTTGAGACAGTTAACACATTTTGGCATATCATTCTTGTTAGTACAATTTTTAAAAAGATGGTTTTCACCACAATGACTACAAGTGTGCGTTGTAGAAGTACAATTCCTGGCAAAATGTCCAAAGGATAGGCATTTGTAACACTGAATCGTGGGAATGTAATCATACACATGACAAGCCGACCAACGAATGTGAACCTTTCCTTCTTTAATAAGTTTTTCCCTTATTTCAGGTTTCACTTCAAAAACCCAAGAGAGGTAGTTTTCATTCTTTTGTTTAAGAGGGAATCTCACAGTACTTTTTTCAGCAAATATCTTATCTGTATAATCGAGTAGGAAAGTTACATTTTGTTCATAGATATCTTGTATTAGTTCATCTTTCGTCGCAGTTTTAGGAATAGATACAATTTTCATTAATTGGAGTCATGTTTTTGGTAAGTGTGAAGTAAGATCAGGAATTTGTTGTACAGACTCTTTAAAATATTTAACTTCATCATGATGATTTAAGTCAACAGCGACTCCTTTGTTTTTCAATTTCCGCAATCTATTTACCCCGACACCAAGTATATGTGGTTGCACTTGACTAGTTAATAGCTTCTTAGTTTATTCTGATGTAGCACCCTCCTGTTCACTATAAACTAAGACCATATGGGCAGGTGGAGGTGGTTCACTTAATTTTAAAACTGGTCCAATATCCTTTTTTAAAATATCCCCGTAACTTGGAGTACTACCTTTCTCTCCTCCAGAGAGATCAGCAGGGAAATTCTTATCTAAATTGCTCACAGTTTGCTGTATACTAGTTAAGATTTCCATAGTTCTATCATTATGATCATTTAAGTCATCTCTGGTAGTGAGCACAGAAAATTTTTTATTAAGGTATTCCGCTATAGTATATTTCTTGATTATTGTTTCAGCTAATTGTATTACATGTGTAAATTGTGTCAGAATATATGA